CGGTATGGTGCCAACGAATCGTATTCCTATATGTAAAATGAAAACGCCAATTCAAAATAAAACGGTACAAATAACGGCCGAACGAGTCAAGAACGCGGGGAATAGCAGAACCCTAGAGACGAACGAGCAATGAAGGCCAGACCACTCACTATCTTTGCCTGTTTTGCATTCCGTAACGCTGTCCCAATGAGCCGCAGCCAGAATTCATCTTTAACGCCGCGAGATGCCTCAAGTAGGACTCGTGGCATATTGATGGGAAACCAGAGCAAGCCTGACCCTTCTTGTCACTAGCAACGGCAAAAAAGTCATTTGCTATCTCCATTCAATCCTATATACAGCTAAGGCCGCACTAGCCTCGCCACGCCGAACGCGCCACGCCAAAATTTTCTCGTTATTATGGACGGCAAAATTCAGGGCTTTGAACTCACCACAGGTGGCGGCCACAAATCGGCAAGGGCGCCAGAACCCCAGAGGCGATCCCTTATCTGCGTCATGAAACTGTTTCGCCGCGACACGCGCTACACGGTGAACTCACCCCAAGTCACTTCACGAGTCGCGCCGCAAGAGAATCCTAATTACATCAAAAGTAGGACACAGGGGATGCGCGATTCAGCCAACGAACGCGGACGTTCCGTGCACTGACTGAGAACCTCGGGTTTTGCGACGCCATCCGAAGCCCCGTACCCACGGAAAGTTGAAATATGTTATTTACATTATACCATTTTGCGCGGCCGCTTCGCGGCCGTGCCCCGGCCGGGGACCCCCAGTGCATGCACATAGCAGAGTATCCTCGATAAATTGTTAATAACAAATGTTCAAATTGAACAATATATGACAAATAGAAGAAGAAGAAAGGCAACGACGAAAGGCAATTAGAATTGATGCAACAACGGGACGAAAATCGTAAAACAGCATATAACACGAAATTTTCCAAATGACGGACCGCCTTCGCAAACCGAGATCCAAAAAAGTACCCAATGGGTCTCAGATACTCAAAAAAATGCGCTCTTTCGAATGCCGTGTCGAACGAGGCTCTACGACGTCGGGTTTGGATGCTACGGGCTCTCAAAGTTGCTCAATTTCACTATATTTACTGAAGATTTGAGCAAATCAGGGCCGTTTCAAGTAGACCATCGGCGATTTCGCTCCTCTTTGTCTTAGATGGTGCCTACCCATAGGTTAACACCCCCACAAAATTTCAGCCATGTCAGGCAATTATTAGAGGAACTGTGAACAATTTAAGTTTTGGGTCATTTTACCACTGGGCTTAGGTGTTTTTTGGGGCCAGAAAAAATAATTTTCTCAGCTATCTACTTTTGATCAGCACCTCTTGAAACGCCTTTTTAAAATGGTCCTCAAAACTTTTTTTCGAGGACAAAATTGTCTTTTCTAGCTGTAAATTTGAACTACTTTTTTTGGCACGAAGTAGCCTTATAGTATACCCAGGGCTCAGCCGGCTCGAGATTTGATTTGTGTGGCCCTTTATGCATTTCGGAAGTTTTCTATACGATTTTAATGAGATTTTGCAGACTAGTAGAACTTTGAACGCTGATTCTGATGTTGAAATCTGGTCAAAAATTTTGGGGGCCAATTTTGAGAAATTTGCTGTCAAAAACGCCGTTTCCATGGCAAAACTCGACTCGTCAAAGGAAAAAAAAAAAGTGGGGGGAGCCGAGCCGGGGCGGACCAAAAGCGGAGCTTCTTTTTGGGTCTGTACAGCTTACTCCAAAAACTGAAAAAGCAACGTTCGAAATGAAAAATTTCTTTGACTGCAGGGAACAAGATGCAACAATAGAATTGGTGCCGGTTCGAACGCAGTTTTTCGGGTAAACTATCCAATAATACTTCTTGATTGGAGTGTTTTTGGACATGCGCAGTGTTGTTGTTGTGATTCAGTTAGCACTAGGACCACTTCGCTCCACCTCGCGACTTGCAGTGCTCATGTTCCTCGAACAAGACTCACCCGCGTTTCGAAACCATCCCTCCCGATTTTTGAAGTTTGTCAAACCAACCGTCGTGGTGTTGATACGTTGTAAGGGAGAACTATTACACAGAATTGAAGAAAACATGACTAGAGAACCATAGCCTTTTGAAACAACCCAAAACAATTCAACGTCCACAACAATGGGGGGCAGTTTTAATGCGCGACTGCTGGCGCTTTCAGCTTCGCGATTTTCGCAAGGGCGCAGACGCCGAGAAAATAGTTGTCAACCCGAGAAAATTAATTTACTGACTTCTTTCTGCTAAGAACATTTTAATCATGATGGACTTCAAAGATGTTCCATTGTCAGAACACTGCGGAATACATTAGCTTTGGGAATTTTTTGAATTTACCAGCATTTTGATTTCTATTTATTGCAATTTTAAAATTTCGACGGATGGCACATCGACCACATTGGTACCACTGCCATTGGTAGTCCCCGGGCCACAACTTCACAACACCACTTCTTTTCTTTTTCCACACTCTTACACAATAATCAAATTGACTTCGTGACTCCTAGGATTTCTTGAAATCGTATTTTTTTTATTTGCAAAGTGTTAAATTTGAACCAAGTGCAGTTAGCATTCTCTGTTAAAAGAGGGAAACCGAAATTAGGCGGTCAGGTACCACTAAGGCCAAAAAAAAAGCCAGCTGGCGGCCAGTTTCACGCCTCAGGTCAGGATAACCTAACCTTACCTTACCTAACCTAACCTAACTGTACTTAGATCGAATTTGACTGTCTTGTAAGGTTCATTACCATTGAAATTCCTACGACGGAAATTGACTAAGCTGAGGTCAGCACAGGGACTACCTGGAAAAGACATATTAGACTGTAACCTTAGTTTCATCGTTTTCTTTGTAAACAATTAAATGCCAAACAATGTACTCACCACCGATGAGCTGATGAATCTCACCCATGTCCTCTAAGGCAGCAGATGTCAGATCCCTCACATCACCTTCTTGGATTACTTCATCTCCAAAGTTGTGTAGTTGCACCCTTGGAGCATCTTTATTGATCTCACTTGAATAATATTTTTCAACATCTAATCCCAACTCTCGTTTAAGGATGTGATATCCTGTCCCAATTCCCTCAAAAAGACCAAGCGCTCTTAACTTTGGTTTTGACGCTCCTCGTGCCTGGATTGTTGTCTGAAAAAAGTACATTCCGTTCAATTCAAATACTCACTCCACTTTAATTGATTCAGTTATGGTCACCATAACCTCACCATACTTCCTTCAGAGATGGAATCCTCATCAAATCCCTCAAACATGTTTTCCTGAGATCCTGCGAAGGGTTCTTCTGGCAACTGGTGAGGTACATCCATTCCTCTCCAACACTGTCACAATCCAAAAACATAAATTCACATGTTACACAGTAATGGAAACAACATAGTTGTATACTAACCTTATTCTTGCCACTTGTTCTGAACCCTTTCTTCGGCTTTGAAAAGAATTTTCTTACACCCCTGTTTCTAGGAGGCATGATACCAAAAAAATAATTGAAATATCCAAACTTCGACTCTTTTGGCAGATATGAACTGATGAATGTATCTTCTAATAGAATGTGCACAAAAAGTTTAGTGCATAATGTTATTTACATTCCCTATTGTAATAGCTCCGATTGGCCGGAACCCAATGTTGGGTTGGTTAGGTTCCACCCAATCAGAGTGTCCGTAACGTCACGTGACGTTTGCACCACTCTCAAAATTATAGGCTCTCTAGGGGGAGAGTAGGGGCTATAATCGCGCCGGAGCCATTTCCGGTTCCACTCTGGTTACTTCCGGAGTAGATTGGATGCAAAATGATATTTCAGAATGGGTATTTAGAGATGGATCGAGTGGGACGTCTCAAACGGTGCACACTGCACAGATGGCGTAAGACATCAAAATACATGAAAAACGACGAATTTCACGCCGTTTTTTTGACAGAAACGGCCTCCGCCTGGGCCAAAGACCTTGTCCGACAGCTCTCGGAAAACTTCACAGCATTCGGACATATATTCCGCACAAAAAGCGAGATAGAGCATGTCTAAATTGTACCTGGTCCCAACAGTATGGTCGTTAAAGTGTCAATTTGGACGTTTAGACCCATTTTTGAGGCCTCTGATGGGCAACAAAGGGGCGCGCCCCGGCCAAAACAGTCTTTGCACTAGTCTTAAAGAATCCTAAACAACCCATTTCTGTGAAAAAATTTTCGATTTTAAACCCATTGTTCCACCCTAGTGGTGAGTTCTTGGGTCACCTCGCACTGAACAAGTACGGGGTCAGCTAAGAGCTGCAAAATGTCTCTAAATCGGTCTTAACACGAGTCCAAAATGTGTTATACCGGGTGGGTCTGGGTCAGGGGGCTGGAGTGGGTCGCGCGGGGTGGGTGCGTGGGTGTGCATGGCGCGGGGGGGGGGGGGGGGGGAGTGGCAATCCGCAGCGCATGTACGCACGTGCAGTGCGCTAAGCGCGTGCATTTTCCCCCAAAAAACGCAAAAACCCCCCTGTTTTTCCCCCGATTTTCTCGGTTCCTGT